CGCTGAAAATGTGAATATATGCCCATTTTTATAGTCGGAAAGTTGTGATTCCGACCTTTTCCGACATATTCCGAAAATCGGTTTGTTATGCGCAGAACGGATGCTCAGCGGGTGACACTGCCGCTTTAAAAACATCGAATAAAAGAAAAATCGTTAATTTGTGAATTTAGATAAGTTATCGTTATGCAATTGCATTAAGCAGCCATATAATTATATGTGTTTGGTTATATGGTGAAGAGATGCTTGGTGATGTTGACAGTTGACCTCATATTTGGGTGTAGAACATGCAACTGGTGATGTTAAAAACGTGAATGATTCAAGCTCTGACTAGAAAATACATGCATGCAGAAACCCTCGCCTTGCTGACAAAACCGTTGTATTTTCCGAACATGAAGTATCTAAAGTAGTTGTCATGGTAACACGATAATTTTTTAAGAATATTCTTACAAATGAAAATCGCCTACAAATATCACTTTTAATTACAAAATTATCAATTTCCCAACATATATATGTTAGATATGTAATTATACGTAATACAAGCTTCAATTTAATGTAATATTCAACCACAAACAATTCACAAAACGTTTTAAAGTGTTCTTTATAAAACTAAACTGCCTTTAACTATTAAATGGCTTTATCGATAAACTTTGAGTTTGCAATAAAATGATTTCAAATTCTCGCTTGCAAATAACTTTGCTTTATTTTTTATTTAAAAAATTCAATATAATAAAAAAGGGAATCAATATTAAAGATACACTGAAATTATATGCTGTCTTGTTTAGTTGTTTCATATACGCAAAGGCCGTCGGGTTTTAAAGCCATTATAAAATCAATATTTAAAACAAACTTACCTTCGTTAACGTCGGCTCCCTTCTTTTAGCTGGTTCTTTCGCCCTTTCTTTCTTGAAATTTACAAAATCTTGCAGAAATACAAGCAAAAATGAACAATATTTGCAAGAAATTTATCAATCATCAACTCATCAAATCAAGAAATGTTTGCTATTTCGCTGTCGTCGTGCAGTCGTTATAATGCAAACTTTAAATTGGACCAATCAGTGTCCGTTATTCATGACAGTCCGCCATATTTTTGAGATCAGTGAGTATGACCACCCATCGTTAGTTACCGACGCCCGCGCTCATTGATGAACTTTAGACTTCGCTAATGCTTTCGTTTCCCCGGGTGTAAATAGCCGGGGGGAATCAGTGCCCTCGCACGGCGCTTCGCGCCGCCGGCTCGGGGATTAGAATGATAGGGACAAAAATTCTGGAAAACAAGGAGTTTGCTTAATGTTTCTGTTGGAAAACTACGGAAAAAAGAGCAAACTTTTGCTGAAAATCTAGTCAGTGCATGTGTAACCTTTCCATAATATGCGCTACGTTTAATTTATATACAGGGTGTCTAAAAAAACACTACAGAAATTCAACAGGCTGTTGTGCATCATAAGCGTAGCTAAACAGTTAGATTTTTACATAAGAAGAAAGAGCTGTTATTTTGCTTTTCTATGACACCTTTGTAAAATCATCACCGTACCAAATGGCTACACACTCCTCAAATAAAAAATCGAAATCACATTCTTCCACCGTTATTGAAAACACATGAATTATGCAAAGTTAATCAATCTAAAAGCAACGCGAGCCTGCTGCAAGCTATTTGTTTCATAAAACGTTTTGATAACGAATGTTCTCTGTTCAGGGGTTAATTGAACGATGTTTCGTAACAAATTCGTATTGAGCTATTGTTCGACCGGCAATTTTTAATTTGACGAGTATGTGGCCATTTCTCATCGTTACGACTTAAAAAGAGTATCATTGAAAAGCTAAATAACTGTTCTTTCGTCCTATGTAAAAATTGAATTGTTTAGCCACGTTTATCATGCACGACAGCCTGTTTAATTTCTGTAGCGTTTTTTTTTTGTTTTTTTTTTTAATTAGACACCCTGTAGTTACTTGAACACTTTACCTTGGCTGATGTTACAGGTGTTTGAATCAGTGCTCGGCTGAAGGTTGAGCATTCCATGCGGGAAACTCTTCAAGACTTTCTTTTTGGTTTACTGGCGTCTCACCTTGCGAAGCCTGAGTACAAACGTTTCGCATAATTGTAATATTCTTGATTACATATACCAAAAATGCCCTTTTCAAATCGTAGTTTGATGCGGACAAACAAATCGGACCAGCAAATCAGTTTGATGCCGTCAATTTATTCTTAAACTTCTCGTAGAAAGAACAACTTTTCCGCAATACGATGGTGTGTCTTTTATTTAACTTACTCATTTATAAACCCAATTGTCCCCAGTAGTTTTGACAGTTGTGCATGTATTCACCCGGAAAACAGGTCAATACAAACTGCTGTAGCATATAACTAAACGTTGTTAAAACACCAAATAAAAGAAAAATCGTTAACTTGACTCATATTCAAAACAATTTTTGGCGAAATATCGAAATAAATGACCACGACTTTTTCAACTAACATGGTAAGAAATCACGATTGTGAATATTAATGATTTGCAATGCATGCCAGGAAGAGCTTCCAATCTCCTCTGCTCAGCACCGTTGGTCATACACGTTCACGATCAGTGATAAATTTCAGACTTCCCTAAAGCCTGCTTTCCACTAGGCAGAATTTTGCGCGTGGAGTGGCATTTTTCTTTGTCTTTTCTAATTAGTTCCACCCGAAAAATCACAAGACTAAGAAAAATTCCGCTCCGCGCGCTAAATTCCGCCTAGTGGAAAACCGGCTTTAAGATTTCGTTTTCCCGCGTGGAAAGAGCCGGGCGGAGTTAGCAGCCTTGCCCCGGGCTTACGCCCGAAATGGCGCTCCATGCCGTTAGTTTGGGGATCAACCTCGTACCCAGGACATTTTGCTTTCGGTCAGCGAAAACGGCCCTGGCATCGGCCGGTCACATGGTGTCAAAAATTCCAGTAATTAGGGTGTTCAATTATGATAATTTATGCGTAAAATATGTATATAAAATAATTATATACATTTTAATTACTGACAGGAGTAATCACACTCAATGCTGCCGTATATAATCAAAGATAAAGCAAGTTGACTTTATTCTGCTTTCGTTGTTTACACCTCAATTAGAATATTGGTGACTTTTAAACATATTCCGAGCCTGGTTAGCCTGTGAGTAAACTCTTAATAAACAACCGAACCGCTTCAGCGTTTGGTTTATATAGATCGTATTTTGAGCAAATACATTCGCATCACAATCTTAACCTTTATTTTTCTATAAAGCTGTACGTTTGTTAAAATCAACGATGTATAAACGACACACATGAGAAATTTATGTTGAACCGAAACAAACACCGGTCTATACAAATATACAAATGCTTATTTCGGACCAAATAGTTTTGTGATGTATTGTCTTTCCCTAATCATGCCGTATCTCGAGGAAAATGTTAAACTGAATCTTACAAACTCAATACTTTAATCCTTCAAGAACTAATTAGAAATTTGTCACTGCACTCTCGTTTCAACAAAATATTAATTTTTCCCACATATATTACATATCTACATTCAAAATCGTTGACCAATCATGTCGCAAAACAGAGCAGCCGAAACCAGAGCCTTTTTCGCTGACTATCCAACCACGGAAGCAAAAAGCCCTGGGTATGAGGTTGATCAGGATTGTATAGCTACTATAATAGTATAATATTACTCCAGAATAATTTACAATTATTTACCGAAGTGGAATAGTGCGTGCGAGGATATTCACCGTAACGCAAAAAATGTTTTAGCATATACCATGCATGCACAACAAAACAAGAATGACAAAAAAAAAAAAAAAAAAAATTAAAACAATTTGTATATCAGTTCCAGCAACAGTTGTAAACAGAAGATTATTTACACGCTCTCGGAAATATCATAAATCTTTCAAGAATACCTCAACCGCCTGTTAAAGAAAACTTAATTTGTGACATGTTCACGTTTAGTGAAACCATAGGTTCGTTTAGTACAAATATTTCTCCTTCTGTAACCGGGACAAACGGGAAGCCATTTTGGTTTTGTCCGGAGATGAATAGCGAAAGGATATTCGAAGCTGAGCAACCAATCAAATTGCGCGAAAACACTATCCACCTTATGAGTATAGCTAACAATTTCTATTTTTTAGTTTGAACATCGGTATAAAGGAAGAGAACAGCCCCGGCAGTCTCTCCGTATGAATTCTCTAGAGATTCCTACTGGGCAAGGTCTTTCTGATTATACTACATCATACAAGAGTGAACAGGCAAGTGGTTTTAATTTCATAATTCTTGAGATTTTTCCCGTTTTGCTTTCTTTTTTCTGTTTAATCACAACGTCGCGCTGATCGTTATGCTGCATACTCAAATCAAGACAAAAGGGCTGCTATCCAAATAATTCATGAGGGATATCCAGCTGAAAAATTCTAGTAAAATTTATGTATATTTATTGGATCTAACGAGAAGCAGTTGCGCCAAATAGAACTATTTATTAGGCTCTCTGGCAGGAATCGAACCTTGGCAGGAATCGGCATTGCGATTTCGAATCTGGCAGGAATCAGCATTGCGATTTCGGTGCTGCGCCCTAACCAACTAAACTACAGAGACCAATTGTCGTGCTCTAATTTCATGTGTATATACAATGGTAATTTTTACGAGTACAAATTATTGTTAATGGACGATACTCAATGCGCTAGACCTAAAAATTATAAATTTAAAATGTCTATGTTAAGCCAACTCGAAAGCTACTATTGCCTAAACCAAGGAACAGACTCTATCACAGACTTTCATTATTTGCTTGCCAAACCCGTAGGCTACTGCACCCAGTATAGTTTATTAATTATGGTCCAAACCACTATGTTTGACCTATTCATAACTATAACAATGAAACTATAGTTAAACATGGGCAGATATCCGAGTTAGCTTTATCTACCTATATCATTCTTACTTGGATTGCGAGCTGTAAAGCTGGTTTAAGGAATAATTTAAAAAATTAATCGTTTCACGTTTATCATTTCAAAACGTTCACCAAAATAATGCCAAGAGTTAGCAAACCACGATCAGGAGTTCGTCAGCAGGATGAACCACCGTCCAGTACTCAACCGTCCGTCGAATTACCGAGCAATTTGGGCGAGTTATCCATTTTAGAGTTGAAGAACCTTTGCCGCGAACTCAACTTTTCCTGCGCTGACGGCCGACGGGTACTTACAACAGGTCTACAGAACGAAAGAGAACATCTAAACACTAATACGCCACAATCCAACATTCAAACCGTTCCAGTAAACAACAACCGCGACTCGCGTAGATGAACAGCCAACTATCCCGTCACCGCCAACGCCACTCGAAAGGCTAGAACAACTTAGTCTATTTCCATTTTTAAGTTCCAGCGAGCTCCAGCAGCAGCCGACCTCATCCCATGGACTTGTTGCCTCAATTCAGCATACAGATTGGGGATCCACGCCAGAGATTCCAAACAAATACGTTCGTGACATCGAAAGTGGTGAGTTTTTTGAGCTTGCTAAATTATTGCCAAAAAATTTAACTAAGTTAAATGTTGGCTCCGATTCTTCTGACAACGTGGGTTTCACAATTTCACGTCTACGGGAATCTCATTAATACCGCGCAAGCCTCAAGTGCTAACTAACATTGAGGAGTGGACAACCGCTTTCAACACGTATATGTTAATCATTGTGCAAAAATTTCCAAATCGTGCTTCAGAACTTTTACAGTACATGGAAACCATCCGTCATGCGGCAAAAACACATGGAGGTTTAGGCTTGTTCATATATGACCATAAATTTCGTTATTAGGCCGCCACGTGCCGAACATTGTCGTGGGCCAACATTGATACGCAGTTATGGTTGCGTATTTTCACCGCTAGCTCTACTCAGTTTCGGGAAGATTATTCCCTTTTTTCTAACAGACCCTCAAACAAAGCTGGGGCAGCGAGGGATTACATTGATTATTTAATATAGTAATCTTCCCAATGGCCCTCGATATCTAATAGTAATATATGAAAAGAAAATCCTATTGAGTAACATTGACAATGAGTAATATGCTTACCATAGATGCAGCTGAATTTATTAACGTAATCTACTTCATAATTCAATTGAATAAAGTAGGTTTTGAGTTTCTTTTTATAGGAATAAATTGAGTGATTTTCAATATCTTTTAATTCGGAATGTAAAGAATTAAATAAACTTGCACCACTGAAGGAAATTTTGGATTTTGCTTGCGTAGTCTTAACTTATGGAACTTTTAAGTCTGTAATAGAGAGTCGCGAACAAAGACAAACAATTTACGAAGATCCGGCTGCCAAGATGTTTTTAAAGTATTGAATACCAATAATATTTTCTCATTTTGATCAAATTAAGAATAGGTATCCAGTTGAGTTAACGGAAAAGCACAATTGAAGGCACTTCAGTTGACTGCTCAAGATTTAGTCTCGCAGCACGTTTCTGTAGTTTTAGTAGGCACGTAATTAGATCGTTATTAGCATTGCCCCAGACTGTGCTACAATATAGCAAGTGTGGGTAGATTAGTGCGTAATGTAATTGAATATGATATTGAAAAGTGAGATAGCTACGTATACGTTTGAGCATGTAAAGTCTAGAATTGATTATATTGTAGATGGTATTAATTTGCTTATCCCATTTCAGATGTTGGTCTAATGTAACTCCAAGTAAAATGGCGGATGTAATCTCCTTAACATTATTGTTATTGACTTCAATGGTTATTGGACTAAGAACAGGGAATTTAGATTGGGAATATATTTTCATTATTTTTGTCTTGCCAGGATTAAGAGACATTTTGTTATGGTTAGTCCAACGGGACACTGAGGTCATACCTGACTTTAGAGAGACACTAAGTTCGTGAAGGTCCGATCCGGCGGATGTTAGTGTAGAGTCAGTATTGAAGTCCTAGTATTGAAGGAACTAGATACTGTTCCAAAATATCACTTACTCGAACCGTCCTGACCGCGTAGCTCAGTTGGAAGAGCATTGGGCTAGTATTCCAAAGGTCGTAGCTTCGAATCCTACCGTGGCCGGGCATATTTTTCAAGCTCGCCCGGTGTGGATATGCACTCAGAGTAACATCACAATCATATTATTCACCTGAGTACACAACACCAGCACAGAAAAATTCATATTACAAGAACACATTGGTATTGAAGGAACTAGATACTGTTCCGAAATATCACTTACTCGAGCCGTCCTGACCGCGTAGCTCAGTTGGAAGAGCATTGGGCTAGTATTCCAAAGGTCGTAGGTTCGAATCCCACCGTGGCCGGGCATATTTTTTCAAGCTCGCCCGGTGTGGATATGCACTCAGAGTAACATCACAAACATATTATTCACCTGAGTACACAACACCAAAAAAAAAAAAAAAAAATTAAATAAAAAAGGCTTAGAACTTCCAACATAACTGGGTAAATCGTTAATAAAGATAAGAAAGAGAATTGGTCCTAGTATAGATCCACCATAGGCACACCAGACTTTATCAGAGCTGGGTTGGATAGGGATGATGCAATTTGTACTACTTAGTAACGATAATTTAGATACGATTTAAACCATTTTAAAGCTGTTGGAGTAATGCCATATTGTTCTAATTTCTGCAGTAGCAATCTATGATCGACCAGAGGAGAGGTCAATTAGAGCTATACCACTAATTAAACCTTGCTCAATGTTATCGAGAAGGTGTTCACAGATCAATATTAGAGTAGATTCACAAGAGTGATGGGCTCGAAAACCATCCTAGCATCTCGATAGAATATCATTTTCTGTGAGGAATTTTACATATGAGTTGGCAACATGTCGTTCGAGGAGTTTAGATAGAATCGGAAATATACAAATGGGCCTGTAATTGTTTGGTAATTGCTAGATAGTATGCTTCAAAATAAGATTTCCGTTTTTATAACGCAGAAAAAACCATCCTAGCGCAAAACTAAACTCTAACCCTAATATTAAAATTAACCCTAACCCTAACCTAACCATAACCCTATTAACCTAACCCTAACTTATTTAAAAAAATTGATATAAAAACGGAAACCTTATTTTGAAGTATACTATCTAGCAATTTCCGTAATTGTTTCTCTCAGTACTTGTTTCAGCTTTATAGATTGGAATTAGTCTAGCTTTCTTCCACATGTTGGGAAAGACACCATTTTCAATGCTCTTATTACAAATGCAAAGTATTATGGGTGCAATGGAATGAATCGAGGACTTGATGAAGTAGGCAGGAATACCATCAAGACTGGTTGACTTGTTCTGGTCTAATTCGGCTGCAAGATTTAGTATGTCATCGATTGTTATCAGTGGAATTGTAAACTTAATATGATTTGTTGCAATTGGTAAATGAGTATTAATTGGGTTGTTTAGTAAACTGATATCAAAGTTGTCTCCAATAGAGGAGAAGTATTCATTAAAGAGATCCGCCCGTAGCTCCGCGAAGACCAACAGAAAATAGAACTGTTAGTTTAAAGTCTACTAGCTAAATATAATAGCAGTAAATCAATACCTTTAGATAAATACTATATTTACGTCAATTCGCGTTGACGCGCTTGAAGATGCTCTTTGTGGGCATCCTGATTCATCATTCGTTTTGAAACTCTGTTCAGACTTGCGTTTCGGTGCTCGTCTCGGTTACGATGGTCCTCGCATGTCCAAATTTTCGAAACACCTCAAGTCTGCCGTTGACAAACCAACTATTGTTTCAACTAACCTACAAAAGGAGCAAAAATTATTGAGACAACAGCATAAGTGCGCCCCTCACCCCCAATTCAATGTTGTGTAGATGACTGAGAAGAGAAAATTCAACCAACTTTTTCCAACATTGATCATGGGGGCAGGGGGGAGGCCGACGTACTTTAAAATAGCCAAAAATGTGAAAAGTCTCATTATTTTTGCACGTAATTGTTTGAAATGGAGCTGTCTGGGGGGTAGCTGTCCAAAATTTAAAATTTTGCCAAAATCTAGCGATCAAGATGACATGAGATTGACATATTTCAATCAATTAACCGAAAGTTTTTGTCCCCCAAAATGTAGAAATTCAGCAAGTAGGCTGCGCGAGGGAGGGGGGACCGGGCAAAAATAAAGAAGCTTTTCTAACAAATTTAATTTTTACTATCATTTACTTACTAGAAAAAAATATTTGGGAAAATAGACAAGTTGTAGGCTAAACACGATTTATTAAAATACTTTGCGATATAGTAACAACACATCCAATAAGCCATAAAAATCTAATGTAGTGTTTTAGCTACTCTTACGTCCTTTCAAGCTCAATTAGCCATCATTTCCTCAGGAGGGAATCATTATATAAGAATTTACTCAGCCTGGCCATATGACGAAAAATAAGAAAACTTTGTCATTTATACTGCAGTATGTGCTGTTGTGCTTGTGGGATGTTCACCAACTAATCCAAAGTGATTAGTTCATATAAATTTTATGCACTTGGCTTCATTAAGCAAACGCTACACAAACGTTACACTACCCATTACACCTACAATCACTTTGAGAAGTTGTTGAGACACATGTAGTTTTAGATTGTAAGTGGATCACTTCAGTTTTTTACACACAATACCGCTCCCCTCCCGCTCCCCCACCCCAATCAATGTTGTTCCAACCAAAACACATCAAACCAGACGAGAAATGGGACACAACATTAAACAGGGGGCGGGGGGGATTGACGTTTGTTGAAATTCAAAGGTTTTGTGGCATCTGTCCCAAGACTTTTGAAATTGATTGTCGGAAAGGCAATGAAAGGCATAAATTTATCTTCTTTGAATTACCGGGTGTTTTAGATTATCAGTTTCGCGAAAATCATATAGCATTTAGTATAACATGTTTACTGAATTGCATTGGCATATGTAACGTCCTTACTGTGCTTCGGTTGTGGTCAATATCGTTGAAATGTAACACAATCCAGCAGTATATCATAAGTGAGCTTATACTGAAAGATGTGAGTGTGGGGAGGGTAGTAGGCCGAGCGATTAAACCTGGTGTATATGCAAGGGAGAAAATACATCTATCTGATTAATTATCGACCTAGGTTAATGCTAAATAAAATTCAAGGGTAAGTTATCGAAGATCACTTAAAGATTGTGCATATTTGACATGAAAACATGTATGTAATATAAAACGGCTTGAACACGTGCTCGATTGACACTCGATTGTCACTTTGAAACACATAGGGCCTAGCATTTTCATTTATACAACTTTCAATTGTCGCGCATAATCATTTTCAGAACATTAAGTGTTAAGCAAACGTTTTTAGGGAGCGTTTATTGATATGTTAAAGGTTCTATTTAAACACAAAGTATATAAATTGTATAAAATGTATCGATTGAAACTCAACTCTAGAAATATCACTATGATATATCAGATTTATTTATGTAAAAAAGTGTCTATCGATCCAAAAATTGGTTTAATCAATTTCAAACCCTTTCACTAATAGCAAATACATTGTTAGACATTCTCAACAGATTATTCTTGGCCTTGTTCTGTTTTAAAAGATGTCTAGTTGCCTGTTATTTCATATTTCTCTTTTGACAATCGAAGTGTCAACCGTTGTTAGTTTCATTGCATTCGTCTCGTCTGGAAACGCTTATTAGTATAATTAGCGTAACACTAACGTCAGTGTTGTATCATACAGCGCCGTATACTGCGAGTCCCTTTCGTTACATATTTTTGGAAGCCTGTGCAACTTAATTTCTTGCTTCGGCGGGTCGCGTTAGTACTCGCTAACGCGTCAGCATTGGGGAGGTCCTTGCGCGACTTTCCCCAAGATCCAGCTTTTCAATACGAGTATATGCCCTGGGAACCTCTCAGCACCCAGCTCTTCGCAGATAAAAATACAGTATATAGTCAGCAGTTGTCCCACACTTCCATAACCCCACAAACCTTGTGTTCTTATGCGTGTCGTTATATTAAATATCTCAATATATATATATATATATATATATATATATATATATATATATATATATATATATATATATATTTTTTTTTT